AGGTTCACAAGTGCAGGAAACACAAATGTCACAGGTGCTCAACCTGAGCCGTGTGATTCCCTGCCAAGGAACAAGCACAACTGCAGCTCTCACTATTTTTGGGGAAGAAGAGAAAAACATATTTCTATGGGGCAGCTTCTCTCTTGCGAGCTCTTCACACAGGCACATCACTCTTATCCGTGCTCCATGCCACCCCATACATGATTGCTCTTCAAGTGGCCACACACGCTCTTCTGCTCTCGCATGATCTTCTTTGCTCCACTGTTACGCATCCCTGCTTCAGGAAAACTGGCACGTGCCCTTCATCACCACCACCTCACACACCCATACCACTTACCCCAGCTGAAGAGGGTCTCTGCCTGGTTGCTAACATCTCTAGAAGTGGCCTTTTGCAAGGAAAGTCTCACAAAGAGCTCACAACTGCTGTTACAGCAGAGTTTAAGGTATCTAATGACCTTAATAGGGCTAACGGGACATCAATGTAGAACACCTGATTGCAGCGTTGGACACGGACAGTGAAGCATGCTCTTCAGCAGCTCCCACCTGACTTCAATCCCCCAGGTCTCTCTCTGTGCAGCTGGAAGAGACTCTCTGCTAACACCCTCAGCAGGGTGGGACTACGAAGGACCAACTGGGAGCATTATGAACCCTGTGGGGAGGGTGTCCTCCCCTAACTGCTGCTTTTGGAGACTGTGTTGCATGATGTGATGGGGGAGGGGGCTCCCACCACACACCCTGCTGTCTCCTCACCGGCTTTTTGGTGCAGATGTGGAGTGGTAGGACAGGCTGGGGACCTGTCATCACCAGTCTCTCGAAAGTAACCCACGTTGTAGCTTCAAACAGAAAGTAGAGCAGAAAGAGGAGACGTTTCTCCACTCTTCAGAATGAGAAGTGGGGTACTATTTTGTTTCCTTGGGATGGGCACTCCTGAAAGCAAATTTATGATTCATCCTTGCATCTTGGGAAGCTCAGTTACACTTAACACTTCACGCTAATACAGGAGGGGACAGTTTTTCACACATGTCTATTGACCTGAGCAATTCTATTAGGCTTAACAGGCTTTGCTTAATAACAGTGCAGAAACCTGCGGATATCCAATTTCTTAAAGCACAAATGCAGACAGGAACCCAGCCCAAACCGGCACCACAGATGGAGGGTTTCTGATTTAATCTATCAAAGCTCTGCCTGCTGCTGTCCCACTCTCCACAATCTCACTCCCTAAAACCTGCATGCACGTTGTGTCTCCGCTGCCCCGGGCAGTTCCTTACACCTCACCTGCTGCCAGCCCAACGCTCCAGGGCTCCAAAATCACCTTACTGTCACCTGGACGTTTCTCCTGTGGGCTACAAAGGAGTCCTCTGCTGTGACAATTCCAACTTCTGCTCCTGCTGATACAAGCCATAGAAGAATCAGCCCTTGCTCCACCTGACTTGACTGGGAAGGAGCAGAGAAGTGTTTCTAGTGGAAGATTCCTCCTCCTCCCCTATGCCACCGCGGGCTGAGCTGAGCACCCCGGTTCCCGGAGGGGAGCAGGCAATGCCGTGCACTCTCCCCCAGCTCTGCCACAGGCTCACCCGAGAGCATCAGAGATGCTGGTCTGTGAAAAGAGATACCTATCTCTGGGCACCGAGGCGGAAGCAGCAAAGATTAATAAGCCTCAAAACATTATACAGCATTTAAATAGTACTGTCACAGATCAAAGACTGTCACTCATCTCAGAGAGGCAGGCTCAGTAAGCCTAGAAAGATCACGTACAGAAAGCAAATGCAAGGTGCAAGGAAAGCCTGCAGACAGGAGCCGAGGAAAGCTCATGCTTGTCTAGAGAAACCGAAGTGGCCTAAGCCAGAGTCTAACATGTGTTCCTGGAGGAATGAGAGCCAGAAAGACTGCCTGGTTTCACTCAGTCTCAGTTGTGTCTTAGCACAAAAAAACACATTTCATTTTAAGACACCCTCTTACCTTGGAGATACCTGCTGCTGGGATCAGCTTAAATCCCAGTGCAAAACCACAACCCTGCCAGATTGCTGAGATAAGGAGCACACTGGGAACCATGCGCAACTGGTGAATGGATTTTAAAAAGCCCCTGATTTACATTGATGCCACAGGGACTGCAGAATCATACTCCCTGCAATCTAAGAGCTTTCATTCTGAAAGCGATGAGGATACTGCATGGAAGTTTGATGGCAATATCACTTGCCCACACTTGCAGACAGCGTGGGAGGCCTGATCTATAGACTCTCAAGTTGCTCATATAACTATGTTATCTGGGAGGAGGAGGAAGAGAGGGGAACTTTTTATCCAAATCACTACAGTGGCGGCAGTAGTAGCATGGGAATGAAGATGCCTCACGGTGGTATTCCTACTCCCAAGCTCTCCTAGAGTAGCTACCCCATGGTAAAGCACCTTTATTCTCACATGACTTTGGGCAAGATACTCCATTTACATTTCTTTGGTATAATTAAAATGCTGCAGGAACTAGCAGTAGCAGGAGCCCCTCTCAGAGGTGTGGGGTTGAATGTTCCTCCAGTCTAGGTTGGACACTGAGTACTGAGGGTCAACCACAGTACAGGCACTGCACGAGGCCAAGTCACTCTTGGATACAGACCTCCAGGGAGGAAATCCTGTTCTCAGGGATCCCCCGGATACTCCATCCCTGCAAACTCAGTCCTTCACTATGCCTCTCCAAACCAGGTCTAGATCCTCACTCCTGAGCCTCGCCCCGTGTACCTTGCTGCTGATCTGGGGACTCCCTGCAGCACTGTACAAAAACATTGTGCAGAACAAAAAGAAGTCCTCAAGCAAACTCTGGCTGATTGAATTTTGAAGGTAAGGAATGCCCTTCTACAACAGATGTACAACCCCCTCTGCCCACCCCAAACACCAGATCCATCACAGAGAAGGGAAATATTTACACAAGTTAGTAGAGTTCCAGTTAAATATTATGCTTAGCTGTCTAGAGTCCATGTTCTCAGACTACGCCTATGAAATAAAAGATTAAACTTCATAACAATTATGAAGTTGCTCTGCTCACATTCAAAGGGAGTTAAAGGACATTAAAATAGTTCTTTGCATAATATTCCAGTGAAATTGCTCTCTCATCCCTGGAGAGTTAGAGCTAAAACCCTCTGAACTATCCTGTAAACACACTTGGAAAGGCTAAGAGCTGAGCTGATAACCAGGTAGCACCTCTGCTCTGCAGGTTCTGTAAAAAATGTGAGCAATGCCAGAGAGCTTTTGAAGCAGCAAGAGAAGGAGGATAGGGGAGAGCAGCTTCTCTTCTCAGGGAAGTTTGTTTAGTGGAAAGTAAGCAAGTTGTCAGGGGAAAAGCTGACAATGTTGATTCCAGCAGTTGTACTGGGAATAAACAGCCAAGTGGATGACGTTACATTCAAGGGAATGAGAAAGGGCTCTGAGGATCCCATTTAAATGCTGGGCTTTCAGGAATGATGCGATTCAGCCACGCTCGTGGCCCCAGTGCCTACCAGCCCCCCGGGCCGAGCCCTCTGCCAGCCCTGGTATCGCCATCCCACCCCTGTGGGGTCCCCGAGAGGTCCAGCACAGCCGATGTCCCCAGGAGAGCCAGAGCTCACTGCTGCACTGCTGTCCCTGGCGAGGACGCAGACCTGTGCTGCCTTAAAGGCAGGGGCTGGACATTGAATTAGGGACGGCAGCAGAGGCGGAGAGGTTGCGCAGGACCCGCTTGCCTCTCCCAGCCTGGCAGCCAGGGAGGACCACCTCGGAGCTTGCCCTGTCCTCCCCAGCCAGAGCACAGGGCGCTCCTTCCCATAAAAATCGGATGCCTCCCTGCCGTTCACAGGAAAGGGACCCGGCAAGAGGAGAAGGGGCTCTTGTTTGATTTATTAGTCTCTTCCTCCTTCCCATCGTCTGTGGCTCATCCAACTGTAGTGATAAGGAGAACAGCTATGAAAGGACACTGCTGGCTGCTGGGATCCCATCCTCTGCCCACTCACTGCCTGAAGACATCAGTCCTTTACAAGCACCATTAAATGTGTATCCAAAATGTGGCAGTCTCCTCCATCCTTTGAGATTCTGTTCCCTGGATAACACAAACAGTTGCCAGAAAAAGAGTATCCTCTCATCTCTGTCTGGGCCATTATCCCTTTATATTTGCTCTTTAATATTTACTGGGTTCACACAAAGTGCATGCTCTGGAAAGAAAAAAAAAATTAGCTGCAGCTTAAAGGACTCCAAATTTAGTAATTGCTGCAGCCTCATCGACGTGAACAGTTAGCAGGGAGATTTCTCCAGCACTTCACATGCTGTGGTATTCTGCTTAGGTCAGGCTGCAAAAAACACTCTGTCCAGGGGCACCAAATCTGGAGTGTCTGCGTAGGTGCCAGCTGCAGAGGCCTTATGAGTCCACCACGAGTTCCTGGTCTTTTCCCACCCAGCACCCAGTAATCTTGGTAGGAAACAGAGGCAGCCAGAGAGATGCTGATTCATACAGAGGTGAAGCACCCGAGGGTTTTAACACACCTGTGAGTTAGCAAGAACTAGCTCCAGCTCCTGGCTCCAGAGCTGGTCTTGCAGCCTTACCTGTTAATGTGAGGTTGCTGTATGTGTTTGAAAACTGCTCCTTTAACAAAACCAAGTGCATCTGAGCTGCCTTTTCCCTCTGTAGCTCCAACATTATGTCAGGATGCTGGGCGATCTTACAGCCTTTCTGCTTATCCAGGGCAATGTCGCTGCGAACAATGTCTACAGCAAAAGGGAAAGAAAAAAGGGAGATGGCCAAACCTCAGCTTTCATTTTCACCAGACACTTGGATCAGAACCAGCCAACATGACAGCCACACAACCATCACTCAGCACGAGCAAGTCAAAAAAAGGGTCCAAACCCCTGGGATCCACCTGATGAACCTTCTCTGCTGAAGTCTCCTTTTCTCCCACAGACCTAACACAACCTGCTGCCCCTTCCATCCTTCACCTGCCCTAGCAGTTGATCTGTTACAATGATGACCCCTCGCTTGCAGGGAAGTGCAAAAGTCTCCCAACATTTATATATGAGCCTGTTACTGGTGTGTTTGACATTAAATAATGAGCAAAGACTAAATCCCATTCTAGTGACCCCTGGCTTCCATTTACCTTTGCCTGTCAAAGAGGTGATGAAGAAGGCTTGTTTTCACCTTGTTCTAGCTATCACAGCTAGAGTTAGGTCAGCATGGCTTATGGCAGGTCTCTGTACACTTCTAACTCCTGACATTCAATTAAGGAGGCAGGAAGCTTATTTAACAATTGTTTTCTCTTCATATGAACATTTTATAAGTCATACAGTGGAATGAGAATAAGATACTCCCTCTCCTGGAATTGCTCGCCTGCTGGGGAAATGCAAAGATGGGGGTAGCAAGGCAGAACAAGAATCAAGTAAGATGCATCCCATCTCTAAACAGGAGGGCAATGGTGCAAACTAGTCCTTGCAAGGTCCATTTCTGAGTTTAATAAACTCTGTAACATGCTCAGATCCACAGGCACGATATGCTTACAAAACCCTAGGCGGCCAGCAGTGATAAGAAAGGATGGAAGTTGGAGTTCTTCCACCGCATTGCATGAGATCACCCTTTGCATCACGAGGTAGTGCTTTGCTTGGTTTAATTCCCATCTAGCCAGAAGTTTCTGAAGGGGCTTATTGTCAGAAGAGAGTGACGTCTTGTTCCACATACGCTCTCCAGCTCCATTATTGTCATGCACATCAAGGAACACCAAAGTTGTTTCCAATATTCATGCCTCCGTCTTTCAAGGTGTCAAATCTCAGGTTCAGCAAACCCAGGTTCAAAGCTCTGCTATATCTTGAGCTGGCAAGGAAGGCCCTCCAAAGGTGGGGTGGAGGACTGGAAGCTACCTTCCTGTCTCCAAGCCCCATCCTAGAGTCACTACACTTGTCTTGCCCAGGCTGTGCTCTGTCTGTCTCTTCACTGCATAGTTTGGGACTGACATTTCTTTAAAGCCTACCCAAAAAAGACTGATCAGAACAGTAATGTCATAAAAGCACCTGTGTTCTGTAGTTAGGGGCACGAGTTCTCTCCTCCACCCACAGCTAGCATACTCAGGAGTGGAGACAGGGCAGCATCCAGTTAGCATGAAAATATGGCTCAGCATTTCCACATCCAGCACAGGGGCTTTAATGCAGAGCGATGGGATGGAGCAAGAGGAAGGAATAATGTTCATCTGCAAATTATGAGTACACACCCCCCAACAACGAGCTTTTGGTGCACAGACTCTTAGGTAGACAGTGAATAAGATTTGGGCCTACCCAAACTCTGCAGAACTAATGAATGGCACAATCCTGAACCCTTTTGTGTGAGATTTGGAGAACTAAAGATTGAGAAACAACCTTCTCATCTTCTCACACCAAAAAGAATAGTGCTATAGCTACTGGTGTCACCTGGAGCTCATTGATAGTCATTCACCTTCCCAGGTGATGGATTTCCTTTTCTACAGAACTGAATGCACCTGTTGTACACCACCCACCCCCCCATACAAAATGGAACAAAACACATCAAGGAGACCCTGAGGGAGGAGAAGACTGAGAGGCAGAGAGCTTTGAAACTAGGTGCTCAAGACACTGTCTCCAATTCTCTTCAAATTGCTATAAGGGAGTCCAGGCTGGGTCAAAACAAACTTGTTTCCTAAAAGGTATGGAGGGCTCCTAAAGCCCAAATCAGGGTCCATGTGGACCCATGTGGTGGAACCATTGGCCTGGGGCCAGGGTCCCTGCCCTCACAGTCAGGGTCCAGGACAGCACCTTGGAGAGTGCAAGGGGATGTGGCAGTGGGTCTGTGCGACACCCCTACCTCCATCTTTGGGGACCACAGGTCACAGCAAACACACGGTTGGGCAAGGGATGGCCCTGTGTGCACTGTCAGCAGGGTCTGGTGACAAAGGGCAGGCCCAGGGGACCAGACCCAGGAGTGACGAGCAGGAGCATTGTTTGGAGCCCTGTCCTTAGTTGATAAGCTGTTGTGATGGGGATTAGCATGAGGAAGTCAAGTCACATTCAGACATTCAGGAAGCAGAGGCCAGGTATGCAAGGTCGTGGCTTCTCAGATTGATGAACGACCCAAAAAACTTGTCCAAGACCTAAAAATGGAGGTGGATCCCACATTCACTATAGCTCCAGCTTAAACAGTGGGCGGATGTCTGGGATATGGAGCTCTTCAAAGAACTCAGTGCCTGGTCATCCAGACCCCACCAGGCTGTACTTGGTGCAGGGGAGGAGGGAAGGGCAGCTCTGCACCATTCTTCTGAACCAGCAGCACCAAGGGAAGAGGGGTGGCAGGCCACAGCTGCTGGGGGCTCAGGGGAAACCTCAGCAAGAGCAACCCAGGGGAAACAGCCAGTGAGGAGCCCGCAGCCCTCAAACCTTAAAAGAAGAGACAGAAAAGGGAAAGATGCAAGGAGAGGGGTACTCCAGGAGGTGCTGGGCAGGGCAGACCCCGAGCGGGAGCTCCAGGAGAAGGACACTGCCTTCCTGAACATCACTTAAAAAAAAAAAAAAATAGCAATAGAAATAAACTACCCCTCAAAACACGAAACCAAGCAGCTCCTGCCA